GACAACCAAAAATTGGATATAAACAAACATTATTGCAAATAAGGGGAGGGGGAACTTGTGTTGAAAGAAGAAATGAAAAAAGAAAAAAAATCATCTTTCTCCCACTATAAGTCGCATTCCTTAGCTCTTCAACATACAGAGAGAAAAGGAAAAGATATGCTTATATATATATACTCAAAAAATTACAACTGAAATCTAACAATCCCATTCACAAAAAAAACAAAAAGAAAAACAAATGATGTGAATCAAAACTATTCATATTTCAAATAAAGGAAAAAATGCAGATACAGGAATCGCTGATTGTCAAATCCTCGAAATGGAAAAAGTCAAGTTAAAAAGTGCACTTTTTTATATATTAATTATTTCTTTTTCATTCTCTTTATTCTACACTTAAATGAGAGTGGTACCTCATTTGAGAGCAATCGTATTCAGAAAAATCAATAAAATCTTTGAATACTGCCTCCTCTGACAACATTCCATTCCTGAAGTATTTCCCTTGCAGCTTTTCCTTGGGGGCGATGTTCAAAGTATTTTTTTTTTCTTTTTTGGGGAGGGGGGATAGGTGGAGCAAGAACTTTTAATAATTAGGGTATCTCTTTCAATGCCTGCTTTTAATGACAAAGGACCCATTTCAACGAGGGCTCACAGGTTGCTACAAAATGCTATGTAAATGTCAACACTGCATTGATTAATCTCAATGTAAGAGAAATGTACAAGCCCAAAACCTCAGTCCCTCAAAGATGGTTTCTAGTGTCTATATATATGACATTTTATATTCAATTTATAAAAAAACTTTATTCTTGAACATGGCCCTTAAACAAATTTGATATTGGAGCATGCAAAACCTAGAAAGAAAAAGTTAAAACAATAACTGAAAACAAATTATTGGTTACAAAATGTCAACAAATAAAAGGTTTAACACATAATACATCTATTTCAGCAAGCAAACAATAACAATAATGATAAAAAAATCAAATATCAACATAAAATAGACAAATGTTTCGAGCAAAACTGATCAAATATATATAAGGGGACATCTAGTCTGTAACATGTTACAATATGCATTCATCAAGAGCACAAACGTCCGACCGTCTCTTGGTTCTTCCAATTTCAAGTATTAAATTTAGATTTATTTTCTTCATTGCACTGACACATATGCACACAAAAGAGAAAGACAAAATGAGCAAAAAGAAAAAATAATAAATAAATAATGACCATGAGACGTACACAGACGCAGCCATACCCCAAGATGAGTGCACACTCAGATGCATGGAGGTTTGGGATAGAACGAGCACACCCGACACTAAGGCCCTTACCCGGAGTTCGAGAATATGAGTTATGGTAAGTGCGTGAGTACTGACACTGATCATCAAATGGGTTAGACACGTTCACGTTTTCCCCGTTGCCTACTGGACCTGTGAGGCACAAGGTGGCTAACCATCAGTATCGGGCTTGCCGAGGAAGTGTAGGAGTTGTGTCATGGAGGCTGTTTTTTTTTTGTTTTGTCTTTTTACTGGTAATTCTCTTTCCCATTAAAAATGTAAATAAGCATTAATCTTAACTTATATACTTTTTAAAACCAAGCATCTGCTCTTTGGATTCTGTTTTTAATACTTATATCTAAGTTTCTCCTCAAACAGGAAGAGGAAAAAGGACCAAGCTAGACTTGAAGGGAGAACAAAACTTAAAAAGGCGAAAAAAAATAAAATAAAATAAAAAAATAATAAAAATAAATAATAATAACAATAATAAAAAAAAAAAAGAAAAGAAAAGAAAATCAGCTGTCCGTAATAGATAGCACTGTGCCTTTCCCACCACCAAATAAGCTGGCTCACACCCCCCTCCTCCCCCTCTCCAGCACCTGGTGGGTTGGGGAGGAGCCAGGCCATCCTGTGAATGGCATTTGTGGAAACTCTCAAGATTAGCCCAAGGAAAAAGAATGCACATACATATTGAACAAAACCACTAGTATGTGTAGAGCAAAAGCAGTCTTGTGTGTATGTATGAAAGAAGAAACATTTGTCAATAAAAATGTCAGCAAATCTCTATTACTATTACATATGTTAAGCAAGACTCCAGAAGCCTGATCACTAACATGTTCTGGACTGGCAAAGTAAGTGTTTTGTGATTCTCAGGAAAATAATATAGAGTAACTACAATGGTTTTCAATGGTCATGCCACAGGAAGCTGTAGTATTATTTATTCTCTTAACCCACCCACTCTGGGATGACAGCCAATCATGCCATAGGTAACACATCATGCACGGTCAACCCTGTTCCAAGTTGTTTGCTGGTTTAGCCCTGGCTGCAATCAATAGGGAGACAATGCCCCTTGAAATTAGGCTTAAAGCCTCTTTTTAACCTTATTACTTAAACAACTGATTCTGCTACAGCCAAGAGCATATAATATAGACCAAGGGTAAATTTGTTTCCAGCATTTCCAATATTCCTCCCAAGCAGCTGACATCATGATTCATGGTTTAGTTGGCATGAGAAGCTCC